GGGAGCAGATGTGGGAACTGGCTGTGCCCGGTTCTCAGGATGGAAATGGATTTTTCCTTTCCCACCCCCCAGCATCAATCACTTTTTCTGTTTGGTTTTAGCAAAACCAGAGAGGAAAAAAAAAGCAAGATTCACCAATGCAAAGTAACATGAGCCGTGAGCCCCAGTCCTAAACTCATGGCCAGCTCTGGCCAGGCTCTGTGTGCTGCACTGTCACCCTGCCCACAGAGCCATGTCCTCCGTGGATCTCAGACCCCCCCAAAAGCCCCAGAACAATCCATCCTCGGGTTTGGATGGGCTTCATCTGGGCCAAGATAAAGCCTGGCAAACCACGCATTGCTGCACTCCCAGCAGGACGAGCAACACAGGGTGTCACCTACAGCCCTGGGACATGCCCACGGAGCTGACTGTCTGGGTCCTGGCTACCCACCTGCAGTTACAGGGATTATTGCACCTTGTTTTGCAGGGACTACTCCCGAGCTGGTGTAGGCACAGCTCCCAGTGGATTCCCCGTCCTGTGCCGAGGCCAGCTGCTCTCTGTGGAGAGCTCGTCCAACCAGCTGCAAACCAGCTGCAGCAGCCAAGAACCGCATCTTGCCAGAGGACATGTGCTCCCCGCAGAGCCGACCCGCATCAACGGCTGTGCCCTGCACAGTCCCCACTGGCACAGCGGCCCTGGGGTGCTGGGGGCTGCTCTGTGGGGCAGAACAGCTCCAGGATCCTGTGGGACTTGCAGAGAGGAGCTGCAACACCGACATCAGCCAGAGGGACTCATGCCGTGCTAGTTCCCAGCCTAAAGAGGCTACAGCCAGGCCAGCACCCCAGAAAACGCACCAAAGCCTGGAGAGACAGGGCAGGGGGGAAACTCCTGGGGCTGTACCCTTTTGGGGGCGCTAGGAGAGGAAATGGCCACTCTGCTGCCTGCCCAACACCAGCTTTCCACCAGCACAGCACCATCTGCCTCCAGTTCAGGATCAACCTGGGGCCACACAGGCACCACAGGAATCCGACAACAGCTCCAACTCTGCTCGTGTCCCTTCCCCATGGCAAAGCAGCAAGACAGACCTATCCCCCGCCCCCAGCCTCTGCCGGGCAGCCGTGGGAAGCTGCACGCCCAGCCGTTACCTTTTCAAGTGCTCCAGCAGGAAAAGGAAGGTGATGAGGTTGGGGTCAGGCAATGAGCGGAGAAGGTGCATCATGCAGTTCTCCTTGGCAGCAGGATCTGAGAGGGCTGGAGACAAGGAGGGAGAAGGGTCAGGACAGGGGCCAGTGACATCTTGTATAGCAGCAGGACCCACCACAGTCAGATGCCTCCTGGCAGCCAGCTCTGGGAAGCAGCACTACGAGCCCTGAACCGGCCTAGAGCCAGCATGGACAGCCAGGACCGAGTGGGCCAGACCCTCAGGAGTCTCCCATCCCAGAGCACACGACGCCAAAGAGACCCACGCTTGTCTACCGACCCCTTCCCCAGCCCCGAGTCCTTACCGATCCCCTCCATGAAGGCGGGGTAGAGTCTGTCAGTGAGGAGGGGCTCGGGCAGCTCACGGAAGTACAGCTTCAGCGTGCCAGCGATAGCATTGATGTCCATGTCACTCAGCATGACCAGGATATCCTTGTTATCTGTCCAGAAAGCACACACACATGACAGCTCCTGTAGCTCCTTCCCCTCCAGGTCTCAGTCCCTTGCATCACCCCAGCTATCGGGGCAGGGGCCAGCCGGCGGGCAGGGACAGCACCACCAGGTACACAGCCCCGTTTAGCCAGGCTGGGGCTGGGAAGAGCCAAGCTTTTCCCACCCAGCCAGGCAACAGGACACAGAACAATTTGAAAATCCATTTGCAACGTTGGCCTGACTCAGTGTCTCCCAGGAGCCAGCCAGGCGCAGCGGCAGCAGCTCTGAGACTCACAGGCACAAACAAGACTGGGACCTCAGGGCGTTTGCTTTCCCAGCTACACCCTCCTCCTCTCCCCCAGCCCCTTCCTGGGCACACCGGTACATTTTGCAGGTGTGCAGTGCAATAACCAGACTCTGGGCTTGTGGGGCAGAAGACCAGGCAGCAGGGCATCTCGGTGCATGTGAACCCTCCCAAGGGAACATGAGGCAAAGGGCAGCCATCCCTTAGGACACTCACTTGCATCGAAGACAGCTTTCAATGCCTGGATGTCAGTGGCGACGCCAGAAATCCTGTAGATGCCAACCTCTTCGATGCCTCTCTTCTCCACCTCCTCGATGCACTGGCGCACGATGTAAGGCACCTTGGAGCGCTCCCGCCTGGCTCAGAAAGCAAAGCTGTGAGCAAAGATTCCTGGAGGAACCCTGTGGTGGCCATCCCAGTCCTGCAAACCCTGAGCCAGGGGCAGGACAGGTGGGAAGGGAGCAGAGCGAAAGCCAGGCTCCCCGCTGTTGGTGGGAGCAAGGGGACATGCTGCAATCCCACACCCACGGGGACTGGAGCGCATCAACCCTGCACGTACTTTGTCACGACGCTGATTTTGACCCCGAAGACGCCAGTCTGCTTTTTGGATGGTGTCCTCTTCAGGCTCATGTCTCTGCTCGTGAACTTCATGGAGAACTCCACCTTGATCTGGAGGAGACAGGGGGTGAGTCCCAGCAGCCCGGCCACGGCCTCTCATGAAGGCACGGCACAGCCCCAGGGAAGAGGCTGCCATCAAAGCAATGCTTACCCCGTTCATCTCAATCACGTCCATGTGCCAGTTCTTCGTCTGCACAGCCTGCGGGTCCAGCTGCAGGGAGAGATGCTGTGTGAGTTCCACGGGGACACAGCCCCAAGCCAGACCCAAAGCCCCTAGACGGTGTGGGGCACGGGACATTATTTTCTGTGGCAACATGCTGCCCGTGGCAGGGGGATGGAGAGGAGAATGTTTGGGATCCCTCTGGCCATGCCCTAAAGCCAGGTGGGCTCAAACTCCCCAGGCAGTGCTTAAAGCAAGGCAGCACTTTAACCCGCACCCGAGTGGCAAGAAATTTCCAAGAAATTAGGACTATTCCTGGCGGCAGATTGGTGAAACAGAACTAGGGCAGCGTTTTCCGTGCAGAAAAACAACATCTCCCCATAGCCAAGGCTATTTATAACCCCTGGGAATGA